TCTAATTTGAGATCATTTGGAGTAGATTTGACGTGGTTTGATCGAAATTGAAATTGAAAATCGAAAGAATACTTTATTGAACAACGCAGAAACCTTATGCTAATCAGACAGGATTTTATGAACAATTTAATAGAGAGACTGAACGCATATACATGAAATCATGTCAACATGGTAGATTTTGGTGTAAAATTGAATAAGCATAAAGTCATGCCAATTGGATATTCAAACTTCCGAAGCAAAAAGCCGTCATCTCGAACGAAATATACAAATTTAGTCCCTTGTTTAACATGGCCATAATCGTTCCAAGCTTTCTTGAAGTAAGTGGCCACCCTACCACGAAATCTATATGATATACTAACATTCTCACTCTGAGTTAACCATCTTCCGAAGCGAACTACTCGACCTCTAAACATTCAACCTTCGCGAGACACCTCCCACCATGTCCTTCCTCATCTTTCGCTGCTCAAATACTGCCTCAAATCATAATCCATCTTTGTAGCATCCGAACTGATAAATGCCACCAACTCTGAGCCACCATAAAGATCATCCCTCTCGAGCCATTCAACATCAGAAGCACGTATCCGACCCCGAAGCCGCCACACATCACAATCTCTGATAATGCCTCTTAGGTACCATTCCACAACACCCTGCCCCGAAAGCAAACCAAAGAAGATCATCACACCGACGAGCCTTAATACATTCAAACAAGGACGAAGACACCACATTATTAACAAGAGTTCCACTAGATTAGGACATATCCAATCTCGCGACTCCATCAACCAACGCCCGAACATCAATAGTCTAATTGCCTCTCCTTCGCTGGAATCAAATGTCGAATCTACCGATCTTGGATCAATTTATCCTCCTCCCAAATTATTCATTGCCGTGTCACATATGTAAGCATCGTACAATGCACATCGGCACTATGCGATAACAATGCATGAACATCACAATACACTGTGCATAGCCTAGAAACCGTAGGAAACATCTGTCACGCCCCCTTTTTCAGGGAATAAAAGAAATCGTAAATGCTTGAGAAATAAGCAATTAAAATCCAAATAAAGGAGAAAGGGGAAGGGTGCACATGTATTAACAAAAATAAGCATGCTTATGACTAATTCACAAAAATAAGTTCGTTATGGTAAGAGCCTAAAAATATCCCCAGTAGAGTCGCTATGCTATCACGCCCCCTTTTTCCTCGCGGAGTCCGGGTTTCGACATTCATTGGGAACAACTCATTTCCTTTCGGGAATTGGGTATTTGAATTTGAAGAGTCGCCACCTAACGAGTTTAAGGTGCATTAGGGCACCTAAAGCAAGTAACTCAGAACACCAGTTTGCATTACCAGAGATTGGGTAAGGGCTCGAAATAACCTTGAGGGGAAGGTGTTAGGCACCCCTCATGGTCCACAACGGTGGGTCCCCGCCGAACTCAAATTATGTGAATTAGTCTTATAAACAGATAAAGCAAATTAGATAAATGGGTATTATATTTAAAACAAGGAATAAAGAGGGGTCCTAGATTTTTTAGCCTACATGATCACTTCTGTACAATGCTTGGTAATCGTCCCCAAGTTGTGGTGCTACACATAGCATTAGCGCACAGGTCATCATATCTTTTACTACCCTGTTACCCTCCCCTTAGTGGTTATATAAGCGATGCTAATTAAACGTACTCTACGCGTGCATTACCCGTCCCTTCCTTGTGGCCCTGGAGGTGTTTGGGACCACTAATTAAGGCAGTTCTAGACTCTCCTAAGGTACTTAAAGGAGAAAAATCTAGGCGACAAGGAAGAACAAATAGGATATTCACATAAAGGCAATTAAAGGCTCACTTTTACCTCCTCACAGAAGCAAATAATAGTACGTCTCAAACAGCAGGATTTCAGATATCTCAAAAGTTCCTTAGAGCAGGATATCTAGGTGAGCATGACAAACAGAATATGCAGCATTGTGTTAATGCGAGGCAATAGAGACCTAGTTTGTAGGATTTTAGTCGCCCTACGGGCTTGCCTAGTTGCGTAACAGTGATGTCCTATAAACATGGTATCTAGTCATTAATCAGGAAAGCAGCAAACCAGTAAACAATTTTAAGCAGGCAGTTTGGATCCTATAGGCATGTTGTTTAGGCGTAATAACTGATTTTAGGCTTATGGATACTGGTAACTAAATGCAGAAATTGGTTTTAAAAATCCTATAGGCATAGCATTTAAATGCAGTAACTAGTTTAAGGACCTTATTGACGTGCAGAAAACTGATTTAAACTTTGTCGACATGTAAAGACTGATTTTAGACTTACAGGCATGGTGTCTAAAATGCAAGATTGATTTTTAAACTCTATAGGCATGTCATCTAAATGAACAAACATTGAGATAACCTATAAGCATGGTATCTAATTAACAGACATTGCAATAAACTATAGGCATGGTATCTGAATAACATAGACATTGCAATAACCTTTGGGCATGGTGTCTAATGCAAGTAAATAATCCTAAGAACATGATCTCTAATGCAAGCAAATGGTCATAATAAACCTACGGACATAATTTCTACCCAGTTTCCCCACAAGAATTATACTAGAATCCTCCCTTTTACTATTTTCCCCAATATCTGTTTACAAGAATTATTATTACAGACCAACATTAATAATGAATTACAGAATTGAAATTGCTACAACTATAGGAAGCCTGAACAGGCCCAAACCATCAACTTGAAAAATCAGGCCTTCAATCAAGTATGAACATGCCAACACTCTCATAGTACACCCAATGGTATCCTGGTGTGTCAAAGATCCCAAGGGCCTCAGGGACCCCGGGCAATGCTCACACCAGAGAACTTTCAAAGCAACCCTTTTTGTGAGAAAGTGTGGAAAGCCAACCCCAGTGTGTCAAAGTTCAGAGGAGCCTCATGGACTCCTAAGCAATGCTCACACTGGAGGGGCAAGACCCAAGGTGTTCTAAGAATATGAGTCGAAAACAGGAGAGAGTTTTTTAAGAAAATAGTTTTAGAAGTGAAAACACATTAGAAGTGTGAAACAGTTTGGAGATGAAGACATATCAGGAGAGAAAAACTGTTTAGGAGACATTCTGAACAAAGGTTTAGCAAACCAAAAACACACAGAACATAGTCACAAAACCTCAAGGCAAAGACTCACATTCAACTTGGTTTATTAGTTAACCCTAAGTGATCATATGGCATACCGAGGACAAATAATTTCACAGAGAGGGGATCAGGGGTTGGGGAACACAGGAATCTTGAATCAGGAGCACATAGAGACATGGTGGTAGGAAAGCATGCTAGTTAACAAGAGATACCTAAGTCTAACAGCCATACTTAAGGGTAGAAATAATTACACCGACTTAAAGCAATAGACAGGAAAAGTTGAAACTTAAACACAGAAGTAAGCTTGTTGACAATAAACATGAATGATTTAAATTTGAACACAGAAGTAAACATGTTGGTCTAAAGCAATGAACAGAAGAGCTTGAAACTTAAACAGAAGGTAAACATGCTAATTAAGATGATAAAAAGGAAAGAGACAAAGTTAAACACAGTAATAAGCATGCTGATTAGAATACATAAGAGGCATGGATTAGACTGAGGTAAAGTAACATGTGAGGGAGCACTTAAGTTCAAGCTTCAACATTAGGAATAGAGACATACTAGTTAAAGGAAGCAGAAATAGAAGGTAAAGTAGGCAGGATTCAACAGCCTAGCCTTGGCTTTCAGCCGGCTAGACAAGCAATGAACACAAGTAGCAGAGAGAGAGATGAGAGAAAGTTTGTGTGTGTTTGAACTATTGTCCGTTTTTAGAGAAGTCAGAATGAGAGTTTGTATAGCACTTAGTAAGATAGGACAAATAAGGTAAAGAATAAATCAGAGTTCATAAAACAGGGTAATCAAATAAATCAATCAGTTAATTGGGGACTTAACTCGATCAATTCCCATAGAAGAATCCGGAAAGGACCCCCTTGAATTAGGGGAGAATCTCTTAACGATTCAGATTGGGATTCAAATAAGGTAAACAAATCAGTCATATACCATATAAGAGTCAATTAAATCCCTAAATCAGACTAATAGTCTAATTAAGGCAAGTAGTACTAATTAAAATCACAAGTAAGGAAAATAGGTAAATCACAGAGAAGTACTGATTTTAACAGGAATATATAATTCGAACCCTATATAAAATCAGTCAATATATTTGATTGACAGAGATAAACAAATAACGGGAAAAAGATTGAAGTAATCAGTGCAATAAACAGAAAGACCTAGGGTTTAAAGCATATACACAATATTAGTCAAACCTATAACATAATGAGATTCAAACACTTGGAAGTTAAAAACCCTTTGAAGAGAACTTAGGACGAAACCCTAGTTCCTAGAAAACACTAGAATCGAATAATAATAAGGAAAACAGAAGGGTTTTTTGAAGAAAATACCAAATAACACTTAAACGTTTCAGATCTCAAGGTTCTGAACTGACATAGGTAGCATAAGATTAGGATTTTAAGAAAAGTGACAGAGATGGAAGAGACCTGGTTTAAAACCATAGATTCGAGCCATAAACAGGAAGAAAATAATACTCACAAACGGAGATGGCCATAGATAGGCCTATGAAAGGTTTCGAACAAAGAATCCTGTAGACATGTAATTTTTGACCCTCCCCAATATTTTGCATATTTTGGCATTTAAATATTTAGTTTAGGCCTAATATCACTATTTCAACTAGTTTTGACTCCTTTACTTTATTTTGTCGCAAAAATAGAAAGTACAATAATAGGTTTGTCTTAACGACTAGTTTTATTTTAATAGTTATTTCTACTTAAGTAGGGCTAATTAATATTTTGGTAGTATTTTTATCTTTATTTTTTACTTTATAGGCAAGAGTTGATGTAGGGTGGATAGATTCTTGGTTAATTAAGCCTATACACAAATCTGGCCATAAAAGCCCAAAGTGAATGGCCCATTCCCTTGGCCCATAACCCCATAAGACCCTAAAGATCCCAAAACCTAGACATTATCAGCATCCTATCTTCAGCACCTAAAAAAACACGGAGAACCCCAAAAACCTAGAGAGGCAACGGACTCCCCTGCTCTTGAACAACATCAGCCATTCCCCACTCTCTCACAGAAGAAAAAGAGAGCTAACCTAATTGACTAAAAAATGGCTGAACAAAAGCTGGAGATCTCCTTGTCAACCTAACAATGAGAGAGCAGCCACCCCCATGAAGAGAAACATTCGCCACCCTCACTGATCGCCCAACCCACCAGCCTTCACCAAACCTACGCATCCGCCGACCCCATCACCTCTCAAAAACCTTCAGCCCCATCCCCTCAAAAGCGCTCTCTCTCTCTCTCTCTTTTGTTTTCTGTCTCATTTGACCGCCGACGAGCTTAACCAGAATACCGACGACGGCTACTACATCCCCTTCTCCAAGAATCGACCACCGCTGCTGCCGTCCCCGAAATTTCTCCAAAAAAAATCAGATACCACCATAATCTCTAAGAGAAATTAGCTGAAATCTGCACGAAAGATCCCGCCTAGAGTCAGCCAAAACAGTCACTAAAACCAGTCGCAAAAAATAGCCACTATCGAGTCGTTTGCGGTAATATTCTGTTCCGATCGAGTCGAGTTCGTCGCCGTCGTTCGAGTCCCGGTCTTGGTTCGAGATTTCCGTACATTTAGCGCAAGTTTTCTGGCCAGTTGTTTTGGTCGTTGATTCAAAGATCTGGCCTTCAATGGAGTTTCTTCATGTTTAAAATAAAGAAAGTTGCTATTAAAAGGTCATGCTCTAACTTTACCTATCTTTCTAATTTCCAGATCTTGTGTCGTGGCTCTTGAATTGTCTTGTTTGATTTCATTTGTTTCCGTTTGACTGCTTGCTTACGAGACTAGTGGAGGTGATGGAGGACTTGGGTCTCACTTAGATTGCTTCTCTTGTTTTTTTTTTGTTTGCGAAATCTTGGTACTGTTGTAATTTCGAGTATTAGTTTCATGTATGCATGATGGATAAATGGATGCTCTGTTCCTTAGGCCATTACTGATTTCTGATTTCTTTGTGGTTTGGTGTTCCCTTACATTTTTAAGCTGAAATTTTGTGTAGCGCGTTTATTGCTGCACATTTCACGTCTTGATGGTTTTCAAGTGTAAGTGAATATCAAGATTCCATCTTTAATTTCTTAGTTCATTCTTGTTGGTTTCCTTGAGAAAAGATGCACAAATGTTCAGGCGCTTGTCACGCCTCTAGTTATTTCGTTTAGTGCTCTTATGTGTTTAAGCTCTATTCAACTGTTTTGACATGCCGTCATTTGATTAAGTTTGCTTTGAAGCTAAACTGGGGGTTAACTTAGATGATTGTGGATGTGTAATTGAATCTTTGTCCTTAACCGAGTAGGTTGTGAATGCTTTTAAGAAGATAACAAAGATAATGACACCTATTTATATTAAGTGGTCGGAGATTCCCGGTAATACCACTAGGCTATATGGTACCATTTTGCTTTGTTATTGATCAGCAATTTCATGTCACCACGTTAAACATGATACAAATAAGGTCTTAGAATTTGGCACCGCTTGGTAGGAATTATTCAATTTGTAGACTTAGTAGAGTGATTCATTCTGTAAATAATCATAGTAATTAAATTCCATATTTCTCCACAATAATTTCCATAACCTATGGCCTTCACGATAATCTCAAAGTTTAGGAAGAATAATAAATATGCGTAGAATGCTTTAGGCGCGTTATTAATCTATCATCGTGATTGTGTACACGCTCGCGTGACATAATTATGATTCTAAAAATAAATCGAGGTATGCGTTCGCGCAACTTCGACTAAACTTTCTTAATATTAATAAAGCGTGATTAATCGTGGACACGTACGCATGACATGATTCTTGACGTGCCAAACAAAATGAGTACACGTACACGTGACTCGTTTAAAATAACCCCATAATTACGAGTAAATCAAGCAATTAAAAGCAGTAAAATGGAAAGAGCACATATGTTCTAAAACACGTAAGTAAACAAATTGATTAAGCCAGGTATGATTGAAGCGACCGTGCTAAAATCACAGAACCCGAAAATGCCTAACACCTTCTCCTGGGTTAATAGAATTCCTTACCCGGTCTTTTGGTTTCGTAGACTTTTGAATAGAGTCAAACTTCCTCGATTCGAGATTTTAAACCGGTGACTTGGGACACCATAAATTATCCCAAGTGGCGACTCTGAATTTGAATAAATAATCCCGTTTCGATTATTGTCACTTTAATTGGAAAAATTCCTTATATGCCCTTTCGAGTAAAAAAGGAGGTGTGACAGCTCTGGCGACTCTGCTGGGGAACAAGAACCCAGAATCTCTGGTTCAGGGTTCAAGCATTCGAGCTTGTTAATGTGATTTTTACTTGACTTTATTTATTGTTGATATTACTGTATTTTGTGGGCCTAATGTGCTAATTGCCGCTTATTTACCGCTTTGATATTATTTGAACTGTATTTAAATGTCTTCTTACGCCTCCCTTCTGAGTCTTCTAAAAATATGGTGCACATGTACGCGTGGCCCATTTCTTTTGTTAGAAGTCATTCCAAATAGAACGAGGCTTGAGTCAGCAACAAGGCCAGGTAGACTTTCGTGCTCCCGGTACATTGCTCCCACCTCAGCTCGAGTTGTCCGCTCGGGTAAGCCAGGTCTAGACCACAACCCCAGGTTTAAACCTAGAATAACATAGCCTCATGTCGGATCCCTAATAGGAACGTTTTTTTGCATCACGTGCATTTGACTTAGGGGACTCAACATAGGGGTTGGGTCCGTCTAGGACAGGTATACCCAAAAAATAAAAGATCATCCTGATGCATCCTATGTGCTACATATTGCATTCTTCAAGGGTAAAATGGTCACTTGGCAGACCAATGATGGTTGAGGGTAAATGAGAAAGAAAAGAGGGTGAAGTGTGAAATGAAGCAAGTAGGGCCCAGTTATGTTTATCTTTTAAAAAAATGAAAAAATAAAAATCCAAAAAGATTTTGCACTTTTCCTTCATTTTTCAAAAAAAAAAAAAAAAGAAGACAAAAACATGTTTTCTCCAAATCAATTGTTTTTTTTAAATTCTCGCACGTATCCAATTTTCCCGAATTACGCATACCTGATTCTCGTATTTCGGAGCGGGATGCGTAGGCAACCCATATAGGGTCCGGTCTTCCTAGTGAGTCTTAGGTTCTTGGTTTCGCGGGGTCTTAGCCAAATCTTGCATGTCTAGCCACTTTTGGCCACGCAGGCCGTTTTGCCAAAATAGCCTCAATCATGTCTTGCATGTGTCCAACAGGAAGTGTTATTGTCTCACATAGTGTTCTAGGTCTTTAACTCTATTTGGTCTTATTTTTCTCATACAGGTGTGGATCTACTTACCAGAGCCGGAGCATGACAGACGCCCAAGGGCCGTTGCATTCATGAGTTGCTTAAGGAGACTTTTTTTTTATGTTTTGAGTCTGTTTTTCTTTTTGTGTCGTCTTTTACATTCTAGTTTTGTACAGTAATGTCGAGTCTTTTAGGTGATGTTAGAGTCTGTCATAGTCTAGTTAAGTTTGACGAGTCTTATGTTATTGTACTTCCTATTTTGTATTTGAAAAAAATGTGTTATAAATAAAAAATCCAAAAAAAGAGATTTTGCGTTTTTATATTTGCGTTAGAAGTTTTCTTTATAATACTAATTCTAGAAATTGAATTTGTTTTTTGAGGTGGTTTTCCTTTAGGAAATTAATATCTAGAACTCAAAATAAAAAGAATTGCGTTTATATTTCCTTTAATATATTAAGACTAAACATTCAAAAAAAAATAATTTCTTTTGATACCTCTTTAGAAGTTTTCTTTAGTTTATCTTTAGAGTTTCTCCCTTAGGTAATCAAAACTGAAATCCAAAAACATTTTTTATCTTTTTCATTTCTCGTTTCGAAATCTTTCCTCAGGATATCAAATTGAAATTCAAAATATTTTTTTTTGGTCTATTCTTTAGATTTCCTTCCTAAAAAAAATCAAAAAATATTTTTCTCTTGTAGGGGTTTTTCCTTAATAATTTCTCATAGAGTATCTGTTTCAAAAAAAGAAAAAGAAAAAATATATGCTCGTTTAAGATTGAGTTTAGAATAGATTATAGAACATTAAGTCTAAAAAAAAGAGATTTTCTTTTTTTTTTTTTTCTCGTCAGACTAGCCATTAAGGTTAAGAAGAAGAAGAAGAAGAAGAAGAAGAAGAAGAAGAAGAAGAAGAAGAAGAAGAGGAGAGAACGTTAGTTTGTTTAGTCTATTCTCGATTTTTCCAGAACTATGCTTGATCTGATTCATGCGGCGTCATGATACGTAGGCAACCTACATAGGGTTCGATCGAATCATTTTTTTTAAAATTAAAAGAAAAGAAAAAAGAAGGAAACAAAAGAAAAAAGAGAGATGAAATTATGGGATGTGAGAAATGAGAGGAAAGAAAAGAGTGGTAATTAGAAAAAAAGGGAGGGAAAATGAGAAAGCAAATGCTAGAAAAGCAAAGAAAAGAGAGGAATGTAATGAACAAATTGGGGTGATGCCAAGTGACATTGTGACCCTCGAAGTCATTCTTGAACCATCAATTGTTGCTAGGTGCATTGCACACAATTTGATATTTGTAGTTGTTAAATGCCCTAACGCTAACATGATGACTTCATTTTGTGCCTCTTTGTTATCTTCATTATAGCAGAAGGGTGGTTGGTTTGTGGTTCTTAAACTGGTAACTCTTCCATACAACACAAGGTCAAAGAGCAAGGTAGCCATGGCTAGCAAAGACTTGGACATGGGTGTTATTGATCCGTCTAAGGAGATTTTGGGTCAGAATTTGAGTTGAAAGAAGAGGTCTTAAGGTTGAAAGGACAGATGGCCGAAATATACCAAGCCTGGATTAGTGGGCATCCTCCACCATTAGTTCCCGCTAACTACACTGAAAGCCTTGTCACCATTCCGCCACTGTCACAAATCCATCTTCCTACTGCTGCTAATATCTCCCCACAACCTTTTCACACTCCACCCCCTAAAACCACCTCATATCCCGCTCCTTTGACCACTCATGTTTTTGTAGCTCCTCCGCCAGCTACTTTTCCTCGATCTCTAGTGAGACTGTGTTCAAAGTACCCGATGCCCAATATTATGCTCCAGAACCCACTTTCAAAGTCTCAGATCATTATTCCTGCACTGCTCACTTTGAGCCTCATGTTGAAACTGAGAAGCCACCCAAGAACGCGGAGGAAGAGGAGATATTTAGAAAAGTAAAGAGTCTGGAACAATCATTGAAGAATATGCAAGGGTTAGGAACCCAAGTACGTGTGGCTTACAAAGATTTGTGCTTGTTTCCTGACATTCTACTGCCTGCTGAGTTTAAGATGCCAAAGTTTGCTTTGTATAACGGACATGGAGATCCGGTGGCCCATTTGAGAGGCTACTGCAGTAAGATGAGAGGCGCCGGCAGGAAGGACAAATTATTGTTGGCGTATTTCAGTCAGAGTCTGAGTGGAGCAGCACTAGAGTGGTACACCCGCCAAGACGCTAGCAGGTGGTACACATGGGACGATATGGCTCAGGCCTTTGCCCGGCACTTTCAGTACAATATAGAAATTGTCCCGGATCACATGTCCCTTACCAAGATAGAAAAGAAGCCTGATGAAAGCTTTAGGGAATACAGGCTCAGATGGAGAGAGCAAGCTGCTCGAGTCAATCCCCCGATGGAAGAAGACGAGATGGTCGAGTATTTTCTTCAAGCTCAAGAGCCAAATTACTTTGGGCATTTGATCTCAGCTGTGGGTAAGCCTTTTAATGATGTGGTAAAAATGGGAGAAATGGTAGAAGATGGGCTGAAGTCGAGCAAGATCATGAGCTATTCTGCTTTAAAAGCCACAACACAAGCAATTCAGAACAACACAGGAAGCTTGCTGGATTAGAAGGAACATGATGATGTTGTCGTGGTTGTCTCAGGATCACGACATGGTCCAACGAGTCTGCCTTACCAATATACTCAGCCTCAACCCCAACCCCAAACCTATTCCCGAGCTCCACATAATCCACCCCAGTATTATCCTCTAAACAACGTCCGGTCATCTGTCCAACCACTAGGTCATTCCTCATGGCGAGCGCCAGCACCGCGTAATGCACTTTTGCCTTCACAACATTTTCGAGCATCCAACAACCCTAGGAAACTAGGGCATAGAGGGGAACAAAGGCAAAGAAATAGTTTCACGCCAACCAGGGAATATTACATAAGCCTGTTTGAAAAGTTGAAACATTTTGGCCTGATTGAGCCGCTCCTCGGCTATACTCCGGACCCATATGCAAAAGGTTTTGATCCTACCGTACGGTGCATGTACCACTCTAATTTCCAAGGGCATAGCATTGATTCAAGAAGGGATAATTGTGATCAAGGACAGTGACAGGGAGTATGCGAATCCTCTTGGGAACTTGCCGACTGAAGTTAATGATATTGAAGTTGGTAATGATCTTGACAATATTGATGTGGAACTCAGTGGCTAAGATGCCGAGTTAGGTAATTGGAAAGACGCTCCTTTCTTGGTTAGCGAGGGAGGAGTCTTGGTGGTTTATTTTGTTGTCATTTCTGTTGTCCGGGTTATTTCAGGGTTGTAATCCGGATATTGTCTTGTGACTCAAACCCTTCTATCCTTTTATTTTGCCTAGTTCGTTTAGTCGTAGTAACACGTTTAGTGTTGTCTAGGTTTGTTCCAGGGTTGTAACCCCAGTTTAGTTTGCTTGTTTTGTTGTTCGAACCGTTTCACCGTCTGTTTAATGCAATCTCTTATTTTCTGTTATTTCTAGTCATTTTTTGTTTAGTTCTCTTTTTCTTTTATAGTTCTTTCCAAGCTGGCTCTAGTGACATGACATGCACACATAATTCTAGGCCTGGTCTTAAAAGTTAGTTTAATCATGAAGCAATGAAACAATTTTGAAGATGATAGGGATATTTGAGGGGAATAAGTACAGATTTGGACATTTTGAGATAATTTAAAGCCCAAACTATGTGAAACTGGGGCAGATAGTTTGGGAAGTTAATAGGATGACAAGAATTTTCCTTGAGAGAGTGTGCCCTGAACAATTTGAAGCGAGCAACTTTGAGTTCGAGTGCATCTCAAGTAACCAAATAAAGCCAAGGGATTTTGCTCCAAATAGACGGAGGGCATCCATTGTGAAGAAGAAACTACCCAACGAGAGTCCTGTGCTTGACAAGGCACTAAGAAAAAGGTGGAAGGCATATCAGTGATATCAATGCCGGATTTGCAAAAGAAATGTTGTACTTGGCATTTTCAGGGATTGGGAGGCACTGTTTCATCTACCCAAACACTTTATACCATTCGGTACCCCTTTTCAGCCTATGCTGATGTTTTACACGTCAATACCACACAAGAGGGGTGGGGGGGGGGGTGATTTGTGTTGTACCCAATTTTTGCTTAACTTAATTATGTAAGGACCTGGTTCTTCTATGTGTTCCAACTACTACTGTCACAGAATAAAAACTACAGAAAATGAAGAACACAGAGATTTAACGTGGAAAACACCTGGCTCAAAAGGTGAAAAAACCACGACCTACCTTCCACTTGGATTTTCCCAAACTTTTCACTAAAAGAACTGAGCCAAAAACTGCATTTACAAAAGCTCTTTTGTAAACCTAAGATTAACTCTAATCCCGTTGTGGCACAAAGCCTCAACTGTTGCAACAACTTCAAGTTAACTCTAACATGAAAACTCTAAGTACCTAATACAATTTCTTCTTAATAAGCTGAAAGGTACAATGTAAAATCACCTACTACAATTGAACTAGAATGAAAAATAGACTCTTGGAACTGGTTCTTCTATCTGGTTCAAGTAGTTTCAGGATTGCACGCTTGAATCACACATAAATTGCTTGCAAAATTGCTTTGCTATTTTGCTCTCAATTCACATTTAGCTTCTGCTTATGTGCATTACCTGTAAAAGAGAACAACACTAATATTTAAGGAGTTGGCAATTAGAGATTGACTAGGATACAGACGCTACTCTTCCATGGTGGAAGAGTTCTAGTTGATCTCATACTCTAACTCTATCCTTTTCCTAAACCGTGTTCTCTTTGTGTAAGGAGTCTTTCTCCTTATCCAATATGCAACCTTTTCGATCATGATCAGGAGATAACACTTCTGATATGATAGATTATCTCATTCACGTGCATCTCACATGTTTGAGTTGATCATAACTGTGCTTCACAAGATGGACCTGGTCCATGTCTGAGTTCCTTTGTCAGTCTTCAAAACTTCACCTTAACTTGGTCCAACAAATTTCCCCTTTTTACTGATGACAAACTCTATGCTTCTCACTCACTTAGGCCCTTTCAGAACTCAGCTTATTCATAAATAAAAAGTAAGAAAAATTTACTTATCATCAAGGACCAGGTTCATTAGGTTATAAACATCATTTATTCAGAATATTCAAAGCACAATATCTCTTCCCCCTTTTGGCATCATCGAAAAGTTGCATAAACAAAATGTAAGTCCCAGAATTTTGACAATTACTCATGGCCACTAGGGCGACTGCAATTGTAATCATGGATTAATCATCAGTAATCAAACAAACATTTCAAACTATCAAGGAAATATTAACAATCAACAAGAGCAGAAACAGTA